TCTCTTCCTCTCCCTCTCTCTCCCTCTCTTCCTCTCCCTCTCTCTCTCCGTCTCCCTCTCCCTCTCCCTCTCCCTCTCCCTCTCTCTTGCTCGATCACTAACAACCTCTCCCACAGCTCGGTCATTGATTCGCCACGGGTGGCGCTGTGCTGCCCTTGCCTGTTTGTTGTGGCCACGGCAGTGGTGATCCGAAGCCGAAGCCTCTATTTGAATCGAACCGCAACAGTTGGTGGCTCCCGGTGAAGTAGATCAGAGAAAATTAAAAATTACCGTATTGATATATTGTATCGATTGTGTCGACAGTTTAACATTCACAAATTTGATGTAAATGATGCAAGCAAAGATTTTATCGCACAATGTTTTGCCCGCAATTTGAGAGACGATACACTGATAAACTAAGTGTTCAACTGCTCAACACTTGTAAGTGTGCAACTGCAAGTTGAATACTTGCAAGTGTGCAACTCCGTAGTCGTACACTTGCAAGTGTAAAACTCGGTAGATGTGCACTTGCAAGTGTGCAACTCCGTAGTCGTACACTTGCAAGTGTTAAACTCGGCAGGTGTGCACTTGCAAGTGTGCAACTCCTCGGTTGAACACTTCCTTAGATTGGACGCTTATTACTGTGTAGGAAGTGCTCAACCGAGGAGTTGCACACTTGCAAAGTATTTAACTTGCAGTTGCACACTTGCAAGTATTTAACTTACAGTTGCACACTTAGAAGTGTTGAGCAGTTGAACACTTAGTTTATCAGTGTACTTTAGTTTTAACCTGGTGTACATATAAGTATTGTTGAGATAGCACCGAGGATAGCGCTGCCGTTGTCGAGGTTGTTATTTCTCTCTGTGTCCAGTTTAGTCGTCAGCTAATCGAACAGACTCTCGCCTGCCGGGTGCTAAAAACATAAACAAGCGGGAACGATCTGTATCGACGAATGCCATCAAATATAATAGCAATGACTTCGAGAGAGAAGAGCAGGGAGAGAGAGAGAGAGAGAGAGAGAGAGAGAGAGCGAACACTTGATGAAAAAGGCATTGCGCGGATGCTTGTGTTGATTATGCCTGGCTGGCCGGCCCCCGGCTCCGGCCCGCTGTAGGGTTGGGCGGGGCTGGTGGGGCCGGCGGCTCCAGAGGGGAGGGCGGGGGAGGCCGACACTTTATCCAATGGCTCCATCAGGCTCTCGCTGTGCTTCGCTCTGCACGTTACTAGTCTCGGGAGGGTGAATCAATTTGCAGCCAAAGAGTACACCATGACGGAGGGGGAGCGGGCCGTATGCTGAACTTGATACACCCTAGCACAATTCACAATGATTATATTTAGCGAGCAACGAACTAAGATGATCAAGTCGTTTGTTACTGGCGAATTGAGTATTACTCGTCGTAATCCTCTCTTTCATGAAGCCAGCATCACTTTTGCCTTATTCCAAAGAAATGGGAGATTAATAATACTTCCGATTCCTCGAGGAATGGCCGGAAAAAAGGGGGAAAGTAATCCAATCCAGTTAGAAATTTTACAACGCTGATGAGTTTCCCTGGATCGAACAAGCACGCGCACAAGCGGCGGGGCCGGGCGGGCAGCGGCGCTCCGGCAGCCGACTCAGCTGCTTTGTTTCCTCACTTACAGAGATGGGGCGTGGCGCGGCGTGGCGGGGGTGGGGGCGTATACGCGTTACAGCGACAAAGGCGAGCAAGTCGAGCGAAGAAAACTTCGGGCGCAGCAGCGGCTGCTTACTTACGTAGGCTGGGCGCCTTCCCTTCCATGGGCCCGCCCCCTCCGGCCCGCCCCCGCTCACGGCACGCAGAGCAAGCGCTCCGGCCGCAATGAGGGAGCGGACGCGTCCCTGTGCTGTCCCAGTCCAAAAGAACTGCCGAATGACTTGTACCATGGACCGTGTTTCTGACGCGTATAGCTTTGTCACAGAGAGATTCGTGACTCTCGCAAGGGAACCTTTTCAGGTGTAAATCTCCGATTTCGTTGAAACTTGGAAAATTTGAAGGTTATCCATGTAGAAATCGGATGGCACTTGAAATTTTTCCTGAACCTCACATGTAGTTTTTCCTTATATAGGGTAGGAAAAGGGTTTTCAAAAATGAACTTTTTTGAAAATGTAAAGGTTTGTTCTAAGGGGTAACTCGTCAGCAGTGCCTCCAAAATTGCAGGATGGTGCGGGCTACTCCCTTCTCAGCTCATGTTAAAGCATGGGCGCAAAAAAAAAAAAAAAGAAGCCCGCAACAGCCTGCCTTTTTGGATGCACTGCTTGACAGAGTAGCGCCCTCGCCTCTGACCCAAAATTTTGTCCGTTTTGCTCTATTTTGTACCGTTAAGGCGGTAGAGCGATATTTGAGACAAAAAACACTGTAAGGCTCAAGTAAACCCCTAGTAACTGTGAGGCTTAGGAAATAAGTGCCATCCGACTTCTAGTATAATAACCTTTAAATTTTCCGAGTTTCAACGAAATCGGAGATTTACACCTGAAAAGGTTCTCTAGTCAGTTACTTTGCTTAGTCGTTCACGATCAGACGTGTTTGGCTCGTTCAAAACGGAATTTTTGGTCTGAATGTCTTTTAACAGCTCTGAAAAGTTAGGACGTCCTGTCTTTATATTGCGAGTAAGAAGATTTGATAGGGGTAGGGTGAATGCATGTTTCGGCCAAATTTCAAGGGATATCGTAGCACAAATCGCCCTTCCCTCTTCCATCTATAATGGCTGGCTGGCCCTCGACCGTGAGAGTGATGATCCTGCGATGGACTTCTATGGAGTTGTTGCACGGTCTGTCCCGTCAGCGTCTCCGCGGCGGCGCGTGGTGGCACCCCCAAGTGGAGCACGTCAGCAGTACTATCCTCTGGCTAGGCTGCTCAGCAGGGGGCGCCCAGCAACCCTTTCGCCATTAGGGTAATAGGCGCCCTGCCCCCCCCTCCCCCTTTTGCGTCCGGCCCTTATATCAACTCGGACATGGAGCCCGCCCGCGCGCCCGCTCCTCCCTGCTGAGCCCCGGCTGCTGTAGCCACCCTCCGCTGGTGGGGCCTAGCGGGCGCGGGAGGCCAGCCCAGCCAGCGGGCCTCCCAGTCAGCAGATCCCAGATAATCTGCAGACGCTGTAAGGAATGTTGTGACGGGATTACGGCCCGAGTACGCCGCCGTGCTGCTCTGTACGCTCTTAGCGTTCCCCCGGCGGCGGAGATCCGGAGCAGGAGCCTGCTGCTGTTGTTGCTGCTCTTGCCCTGCTGCGAGGAGCAGAGTAACCGACATGAATAAACATATGCAGCATGCGTTATTGGGTCTATCGGTTGTTTTATGGGTCGGTCGGTTCTCTGCGCCGCCTTATTAGGACTCCAAAAATAAATATGTTGCTTAATTGGTTTTGTAGGTCTAGTAGTACTCCCCCCCCCCTTACTTGTCCCCACTTCTACAGTCTAAACACTACGCTGCGTCAGTAGTTGACAGTAGAGCTTTTGTGAGAGGATTGACTTCAAAGGGATCTCCCCATGGTTGTAGGACCATTTAACACTAGAACCGCTGACATTTTTGTATACCTAGAACCTTTGACCCCTGCCGCATTTTGCGCGTGAATGTAAAATTTCCGGAGTAATTATCACTGTAAATGGTCTTGGAAACAAGTATGTGTACGTTAAATGCTTTTTGTGATAATTATTCTGTATGCTCTGAGGTGTTATTTATCTGGATAAAACAGCATTTTCGACGCGAAACGGTTCTAGTGTTAAAGCGACCGTTCACTGACTGTCACATAATTTTTCATTGGTTCGTTTTTGTTTCATCTGTTGTCAGGAGTGTCAGCGCGCGGCAGTAACTCGCGCAAGCCCTACTATGGGAAGTACATCGGCACCTTGGCGAGCTACGCCCATGGCATCGAGGGCACGGCGTTCGCGGTGGACGAGAACATCATCTTCATCGAGAAGTTCTCCTACGACGGCACGGCGCCCGGTAAGAGCAAATCCCTAAATTAAGAACATAGACTTTTGGGTCACTGTTAAAAATTCTGTACCCAGAAACAGAATTCAAGATCGTCCTGTACTTACATACCACGGTCAAAATCTGTTCGACTGGTATTTGAGGGATAAAGACTTGACATTGCTTGAAAAGAACTTTCCTCCTGAATATAGTACAGTGCAAACTACGGGACTAAACTGTTTTCAAAATTACCAGTCTATTCTGTAGTTATTTAGTGTTGTAATTTTTGACAGTGGTGGGTGTAGGAAAAATCAAAACAACAGTTTGAAACCGTTCGTTACTTTAAAATAATTGTAAATTGTACTGCTAACGATACAAAATATCATTTTTTAAATAAACTGCCAAGTTTAAGTACAACTTTGATTTTTACAATAGTAACTGTAGGAATTTTTTTCATTGTGATTGTGATTGATTTCGCATTTGTGTCTTCTTTGTCTCACACACAGCGTTATTGTTCTAAATTACAGACGCCTTCTTCTGGGTGGGCAACAAGACACCGAGGCCCTCACCAGAAGGAGACCTGGTACCGTTCCCCGAGGACTTCAAGGGAAGGTAAGTAGCTCCTGTACAGTACATTTCGGCTTCCTTCCTCCCTCCTCCTCCTCTTCTTCCTTCCCCCCCCTCCCCCTCCCCGCCCTTCTGAAGCGCCCGAGTATGTTTTTCTCCGCTTCCCTCCCGCAGAGTAATCGGCTTTGCTGGAACCTGTGCGCGGCTGGCCGGAGGGTGGACCAGGACGTTTTTGTTTCAAAGAGACGAGGTGGAGGAGGAGGGGGTTG